CTGAAACATCAACATTTTTTGGTTGTGTGCAGCAACATTTTGTGTTTTTCAGTGCTAGCTCTGTGAGGTGGAAGATTATAACAGATAAGATTCACTGCTCACTCCACTCTTTGTCAGAGACATGCTGGGGTGCACATGCTGATGCTATCCATCCCCTCCCCGAGCATCTTCCAGGTATTCTGGAAGCACTGGAATGTGCTCTTGAATTAAATTTGACACACAAAGCTCAATCACAACTGGAAGCACTGAAAAGGTAGTTCAGCTCGTTTTCATGCCTTTTGTTGGCTAGCTTCTGGTACAAAGTTCTTACAAGTATTGATGACAGAAACAAGATTTTACAAGTCAGGGGAATCTCTCTTGAATCAGAGGCAGCTCTCATTGCTGATATTATTGAAGAAGTAAAACAACTTGGAGATCAGCGGCCCAAAATTCTACAGGAAGCATGTCTTGTAGCAGAAGGCATGGGAATTTTGCCAGAGTTACCAAAGAAGAGAGGCCAGAAGCAGAAAAGATGTCATGATGACACAGCTGAGGAATCACGTTCTACCATCTCTGAAAATGATCCAGAATCTTTATTCAGAAGAAATGTTTTTGATGCAACTTTAGACAACGTTATCTATGGATTAGAGTGCAGATTCCAGCAACCAATAACGTTTTATTTTACATTTCGTTCAGTCCGAAAATATGTGACACTAGATCCTGGGGAAGTGGACAAAGCTTCTAAATGTCTACTTCACAGGTATCCTACAGATCTTTCTGAGAATTTTCCTTGTGAAATGTTGCATCTGAAAAAAAATTCACAGTTCACAATTCACAGTCAATGTCAGCAGGGGGAGTCATATAACAATCCACCCTGCTGATCTCTTTGGTACTTAATTACTGCAGCGGGTGCTGGCAAACCAATAATCCCCTCACTTCTGAAATGTATTCCTCTCCCTTCCCTCCTCCCTGAAGCCGTAGCTGTCCACAGCAATCCCCACGCCAAGCCACAATAGCCTGCACGGTTATACCCTCCCCCACCCTCAGTCCTCATGGACTCCCACACCAATCTGCCTGTGAAAGAAAACACGTCACATCCACATGGAACTTTATAAATTAAAACCTTTATTTTCACTTTTAAAATATTTGTTTCAATGCATGATAAAAATGTTACTCACTGAATAAAAGCTTTAACCTTAAAAAGAAAAAAAAACAGTATAAAACAGTATAAAAATATAGTATAAAAATATAAAATTCTCTTTTTCCTCTGTATATAAACTATAAATAAATCACTAACAACTATACTATAAAGAAATAAATAACTACAAATACACTATTCTATTCTATTCTATTCTATTCTATATTTTCTATTCTATTCTACTCTATTCTATTTCTATTCTATTTCTATATCTATTCTATAACCCTTCTATTTTTATACTGTGTCTAATCTTATGTCTATAATCTTCTATTTTCTATCTTCTATTGTTTTTAATCTTCATTATCTGCTTCTATCTCTGCTCTTCTGAAAGTCCTGCAGGGGAAGAAAGAAGAAGTGTTTGGCCCATACTCCCAGATTCACACAATCACACCTTCATGCACATGACAGTGACAGCCACACAGCTGAGGCAATGCCCCACAGATAAACAGAATACACTGTTTATCAGGACACACCTTGGCTTACTAGGAACAATGGCCATGAAGTGATGGAGAGCAGATTTAGATTAAACATTAGGAAAAAATTCTTTAGGGTGAGGGTTACCAAAATCTGGAATGGACTTCCAGCGGAGGTGGTGCTCTCCCCTACCTTGGTGGTCTTTAAGAGGAGACTAGACAAGCACCTAGCTGAGGTCATCTGACTCCAGCGCTCTTTCCTACACAGGGCAGGGGGTCAGACTCGATGATCTACTGAGGTCCCTTCCAATCCTAAAAATCTATGAATTCTATGAAGTATTATCTGAATATTTCAAATATTACTTAAATATTACCTAAATTTCAGAAAATTACCTAAATATTAAAATATATCAAATATTACCTACATTTAAAAAAATACCTAAATATTTCAAATATTACCTAAGTATTTCAAAGGTCCTGCCTTTAAATGGGATGCAAAAATCATGGTCACCATAGCTGGTGGCTGGCCCTGGCAACACAAGCAGCCCCTTCCACCGCCATTGCCAAGGCCACAGAGCTGCCCTGTTACACTTATTTTTATACTTAAATGCTATATTTTTGCTTATATGTAAAGGGTCAAGTTCAAACCTGGCATAAGCATCATATCAGCGAAAGGCATCTGCTTACATCAAACCTGAATTTACCCCCCAGAAGGAGGCGTGCAAAATGTAAAGGGTTACGCCAATGTGCTGTTTAAGAGAGATTCTTTTCTAGTTCCAGTTGTCTTTTTAAATAAGTATGAAATTTTCTATTACAGCTCAGGATACAAGTATCTCTGATTTTCCTCACCTGTAAGTTTGTTTGTTTTTTGGTTTGGTTTTCAGTGTGCAGTCTCCTTCCTGGAAATGTTGTCCTTCTTGGGTTCAGAGACAGATGAGGAAAGACTGATCAAAGCCAGCCAGACTCTGTATGATTATGTGTATTTATATGTCTCTTCCACAAATACAATATTCAGAATCCTCAATCAGCACCTTGGTACCCACTTCCCCATTATTTCAGTGAAAGAAAGCCTTAGCCTTAAAGAGAACCTTCAGCTCTTGATCAGCTCTCTGAAAGAGTTGCAAACTGTTGTAGAAACAGAAGCCAAAGATGTTAAGCATCACGTCGGCCAACAGTTGTATGCTAAAATTGCTGGCCCCATCACCTCTCTGCAGGAGAAGACTGCAGTTGTAAAGGACCTGTATGAAAATTATAAGGGAGTTTTAGGAGGTATATGTGGTCCATTCATTGCAGTGCTGCTGAAACATGGCAATCTCTCAGACTCAATAGAGTCTGCCATTCATCAGTTGGTGACTTCCCCTGCCTTATCCCTCCAAGTTGCTGACCTTATAAATCACAATGATCTCACCAAAATACTACCAACTACTGACAATGGCAGCAGCCCTTCAAGGAGTACCGCTCAGCAGACTGGACCACTCAATCCGTCAACCAGTTTCTCACTGCCTGGCTTCATACGAGCTATTCTTCAGCGACAAACTACTAAGAACAGCCTGAAAATTGCAGCAGACTATCTGGAAGAAGCTGTCAGGGTACTAAAACCATCTTGTGAATTATTCCAGTGCATTGTTAAACTGGTCAAGGTCTGTACCTCACTGGTGCCTGAGAAGGTGCAGTGATCCGTCAGGCAAATGCTCACATGGTAGAGATCCATTTCTTTCCTTTCTATTCTTACAACCAGGAAAGTTATGCAAAGGAACAAGAGATAATTTCTGCTTCCCCAGTAATTTCTGCTGTCACATTTAGCATCCAGATCTGAACATTGTATTAAAGAGTGAAAGTCAAGCCCTGTTGTTTTGTTAATGCAAAATCTGAATAAATAAAAATCAACAGGAAACTAACTCAAAAGGTAACTGTTGACTGTTGAAATTGTATCTTTATTAAGTATGTTTTAACAGTCTGGCCAAGCCTATTTGATTATTTTAATAGTGTTAGTTCAGTTTGACTTGTCTGCTTTTGTGAGTTGGGCAACTACAGTTCCTTTATTTTAAATAAGCTGTGATAGGGGTATTCTTAGGGAAACTGACCACTGATTGGATTTGCAGGTGATCTGTCATTTTGGAGCAGAGGATCATTGTGATTTGAGATCTTAATGTGCAGCAAAGTGAAGAATGATTTTGTCTGTCTACCAGTTTTTCTGTGCTACCTTGGCCATGTGACTTAGAGGTAAATCAACAGGACTTGGGCAACTAACTCAGTTAAGGCACCTATAGGTCCTCATAATTTTTTGGTCAACTTTCTAATCCTGGAGGCACCTACGTTTCCTGGACACCTAAATTTGGTGGTGGCCAGATGAAACAATTGTATTGGTTTACTTCAAGAAACACTGAGCCAATGAGCTGTTTCTTCTGTCTGTTCCTAAGCCACTGTGACTTTAAATCCATTTAATTTATTTTTAAAGTTACAGCACTAGTCTATTGGTACAGGTAGAGGAGTGGACAGATACAACAGCTACATTGGCTTATCTGACACACAGTTCAGCAGCCTGTCCCTCAGCCCTTTTAAATGTTTCATCATTACATCTGAAAGTTCCCTGGGCATCTAATAAGTGTCTATTTCTGAGCCTTCCTAGAAGTACCTGAGTCATAACTCAGGCCTTTGTACGTGCCACATTTTTTGCCCTTTTTGCACTGCAACAGCGTGACTGTTTGCACAAGCAGGTTTTCCAGACAGTTTAAAAGTCTTTCTGGTGCATTAAAGTAAGATTCCTCGGATGTAGTTTAGTTTGGCTCACCGCGAATTAAAGCATTGCATCCATGGATTTGTTGCAGGCAAACACTAAGGCACTCAAAGACGTGTAATGAGCCTCTTTGTCCACCAGGTGGCGCTGCGGCTTGTCTATAGTTCACCACTTTGAATTGCTTCTGCTTTCAAATTGCTTCCACTTCTTTGTTTTCATGTACCATTGCCCAGCTCCGTGTTCCCACAGCTGCGTGGCAGGGCATGGGGAAGGGGGCCCTGGGCCAGGGCACAGCCCTCGACCATCCCACTCTCCTGCCGCGCTGGGCGGGGACTGAGCTTAATTTGTTGGAAAACCAAGTGTGTGCAAACACACTGATGCAGCGCTCCAAAATAAACAAGTTTAAATTTTATAAACCTATTTAATTTAATAAGGATTAAACCCCATGGTGTGTACAGGCGTCCAACAGTGCTGAACAGCAGAATAGCTAATTCAGGCCAGAGCCTGATTCGGGATCTACATTGTAGACATTCCCCTGCCACCAGAGTCCAGGTCTATCAATTCCTAGTTGGGGCAAATTGTACTGAGCAGGTTAATAGAAAAATACATCAGCTAGGATGCACAAATATAATTTTACACAAGCATAAATTTCAGATGGTGCAGAGCTCCTAAAAGGCTAATAGTAAACCAACTGAATGAAGACTGGATCAGTGAGACATTTAAAGAAAATCTCAGTTGCCATGCTGGACAAAAGCTGTGATGCACTATAAAAAAGATATTGCAAAGTGGGTTGCAGGAATCAGGAAGGATTTTGCTGCATAATTAAGTAAATAACATAGTGGCCAGGTTGTAAAAGTAACGAAGTGGCCATTTGGTAGTCTGTGTAAATGCATTACTGAGTTTCAGTTCAATTTTTAGTGGCTAGATGTCTTCAGTGTAAAACAATACATATTTGGTCATCTTGTTAATAGACTGAGCTCAGACCAAAGCCTCAATGAGCCAGAAGCTAAACAACAACCTCATGTCTAAGATATGGCCCCTCTAAGACAGACGCAATCAAGTGGAGTGGGAAATTTTCATTACTGTTCACACACTGTAGTTGTTTTGGGATTAAAGAACTTCAGAGTTATTGCTCTGATGCCTCAGAGATATGCTAAATTAACTTGTAAAAATTAGGAAAGCATATATGTAAATAGTATTCTTATTTCAGTATGTGACATGGGGGACTGCGGCATTGACAAATGCACGGTCACATGGGTGGCAAACTGGCTCTAGGGGCGCACCCAGAGGGTGGTGGTGCACAGGTCGATGTCAGCCTGGGAGGGTGTGGGCAGCGGAGTCCCCCAGGGCTCGGTCCTTGGGCTAGTGCTCTTCAATATCTTCATTAGTAACCTGGACGAGGGTGTGGAGTGCACCCTGTTCAAGTTCGCTGATGACACCAAGCTGTGGGGTAAAGTGAATACACTGGTAGGCAGGGACTGCATCCAGGCAGACCTGGATAGGTTAGAGAAGTGGGTGGATCTGAACAGGATGCGGTTCAACAAGGACAAGTGCAGGGTGCTGCACCTGGGGAGAGGGAACCAGCATTATGGTTATAGGTTAGGGGCTGACCCTCTCAGCAGCACAGAGGCAGAGAGGGATCTTGGAGTCAGGATTGACTCCAGGATGAATATGAGTCGCCAATGCGATGAAGCAATAGGCAGAGCCAACTGCACCCTGTCATGCATCAACAGGGGCATCACTAACAGGTCCAGAGAGGTCTTGCTCCCCCTCTATGCGGCGCTGGTCAGGCCGCAGCTGGAGTACTGTGTCCAGTTCTGGGCGCCGCACTTCAAGAGGGACGTGGAGAACCTGGAGAGGGTCCAGAGGAGGCCACTCATATGGTTGAGGGCCTCCGTGGCCAGCCCTATGAGGAGAGGCTGAGGGACCTGAATCTCTTCAGTCTCTGCAAGAGGAGACTGAGGGGGGATCTTGTGGCTGCCTACAACCTTATCAGGGGCCACCAGCAGGGACTCGGGGAAAGTCTGTTCACCAGGGCCCCCCTTGGAGTCACCAGGAACAATGGCCACAAGCTGAGGGAGGATAGGTTTAGGTTAGATATTAGGAAGAACTACTTCACTGTAAGGGTGGCCAGAGCCTGGAATAGGCTTCCCAGAGAGGTGGTGCTCTCATCTTCCCTGGAAATCTTCAAGAGGAGACTGGTTAGGCAACTGGCTGGGGTCTTATGACCCCTGCCACCCCCAGTGCTCATTCCTGCCCATGGCAGGGGGTTGGACTAGATGATCTGTCTAGGTCCCTTCTGACTCATGGATTCTATGATTCTGTGAATTATGATCACTGGTATCACACACTGAAAGTCAAAGCAATAAAATAGAAGGGACAGTTAGTTTTAATAGTATCACACCCCTCCCCGACACACATGCAAACACACACACATACACTAAGCTAATACAAGTCAGTTGGCTCTACAATTTTTATTTAACATATATGTAATTTTCAGGTCTTTTATTATTGGCCACCAGAGGGTACTATTACTGCAGACACAAAAAAATCCTACTAAGACTTTTAAAGGAAATGCTAATACACAGTCTGTTAGGACTTGAGTTTTGTTCAGTCAGTTTATATTCATACTGAAGGCCTTACAAAAAAGGGCTGAGACTGACTGGAGTCATAGTTATGCTCCTTAGTACATGCACAGATCAATTATCCTTGTATTTGCAATGTATATACACATGGACCTGGTTTGATGATAACATAGTGCATGAGTTCTTGTAGAGTCTGAACAGCGCACACCCTGACTCAACTAGTCAATGAGAGTTGCAGCCAAAGTCACAAAAGGTGTTTGGCACTTTGTTGCATCAGTAATATCTATTGCTCTATCACTAGCTTGTCATTCCCTCTCCTCCATTCTTCACTCTTGCTCACTCAGCATATGAATCCATCTGGAATCAGGGAAAAAGCCATTGTCTGGCCAAGTATAAGGAATCAGTGATCACACAAGAAAGAAAAACAGTGACCCATGGTGTGCTGACACAGTTCTTGTTACTTGACGCTGTAAAAGAATCAAACAGGAAGATCTTTAGAGTTTCATTGACAGGGTAGAGTTCTGTTGCATTTCATTTCTGGCAGCCCTTGTTTAGGACAACCATTTCCTTATAAAATATGTTTAACACATGAATGAAAAAAAATGGTGTAATCACATCCAGAAAACCTTTTGCCCAGAATCAAATGCATGTAGTCCAAATTTTCCATTTCCTCAGTTTTAGCTATTTTGAAATGTAGCATACAGCATATACAATGCATAGCTCAGATTAAATTTGCCTGTTTCAAAGGTGTATCACAGAGACCTCTATACAAAATCATTTCTATCTCCTTTACATTCCAGTGGAGTTAATAAACTCCACCTTCTGTGCAGGATTCTAGCTTGACTAAGATATCCCTTCTCACCTCTGATAAAGCCATAGTAAAGTAAATATATCCAAAATCCTTCTTATTCAATTGTACTAACATTCTGGAATGCATTCTATTTGCGTATGAGTCTTAACCCAGAGATGTCAAAGTATATTTTCTTTAGTTACAATGGAAATCAAAATCAGCCTCACGAGTGGATGTAACCTTAACTCAGGGCTATCCAGCGTCTGGGAACCAGAGGCCACATGCCGCATAGGCCACGTGATTTGGGCTGCATGCCACATAGCCCCCCAGGATACCTGCCCCCAGATAGGGGCGGGCAATTATTTCGGGCAGAGGGCCGCTTACCCAGTTTTGGCAAGCTGTCAAGGGCTGCATGGGTAGCCCCACCCCTTGACAGGTGCCCCGCCTCCTGGTCACCATCTTGGGACCAAAGTCCCAATGTCTTGGGACCAATGTCTCAGGGCCAGCACCGGTTGGGCCCAGAGCGAGGCTGGGCTGGCAGGGGTCTGTGAAGCTGGGCTGGGCTGCACCAGCAGAGAGAATGGGGAGCTGACCCGGCTCCATAGAGCCCCTGCCAGCCAGGGCCCTGTACTCCTGCCGCCCTGCTGTGGGCCCCGCTGGTGCTGGCCCCAGGACACCAGTGTGGGCCCCATTCACCTGCTCACTCCAGTGCCCCTCAAGCTCTGTGGTACAGGCAGGGGGCAGCTTGCAGCCCTGATCCGCTGCTCGCCAGCAGGTAATGAGCTGGTGCTAAGTGGGGGGAAAAGCAGCTCCTCCCCTGCCCCATGGCCACTGCTCCCATGCAGGCTGCGAGTGGCTGCAGCGCAGGGCGCCGGGCACAGGGCGGGGGAGGGGTGGCTTTCCCCACCCCCCTGTGCTCAGCACCAGCTTGTAACCCACACCCACTGCCATCCTGGGCCCTGCACCGGCTTCGGGCTCACCTGTCAGGGCTACGCCATGGTAGCAGCTGCAGCCCCACCACTTGCTGCAATGGGCAGTTTGCCACCATCACCTCTGGGTTGTCCAGCACGCAAGCTTCAGGTGGGCAGCAGCAGCAAACACTGCCCAGCGTGGCAAGAGGTGAGGCCACAGCTGCTGCTGCTGCAGTGCAGGCCCAATGGGCGAGGCTGGAGCCAGCATGGCACCCAGGCTGGTAGCGGGGGTGGGTTACAAGCTGGTGCTGAGCATGGGTGGGGGAAAGCGGCCACTCCCCTGCCCTATGCCCAGCGCCCCATGCTGCAGCCACTCACCACCCGCGTGGGGCTGCCTGTGCCTGCTCAGGACAGCCCCGCGTCGGCTGCGAGTGGCTGCAGCAGGGAGCACCAACCATGGGGAAGGCAAGGAGCTGCTTTTCCCTGGGCTCAGCTTTTCCCCGGGCTCCTTCCCTGCCCAAGGTTCCCCCCACCCTCCCTTATCTGAGTTTCCAGCCTGGTGCACTCACATGGTCCCAGGCTGGGGGGGCTGGGCCAGGCAGACCATGCTGTTGCAGGAGCCTGCTGGGCTTCCCCTGGGTCTTACTGCCCCTGGTTTCTGTCATTTTTGACAGGAACCAAGGACAGATCAATATGAATTTTCTAAATTTTTTAGGGGCCCCGCAGACCAGATAGAATGGCCTCACAGGCTGGATGCACCCCGCAGGCCATATTTTTCCCACCCCTATGTTAACCCCTCACAGGCTGGAGGTGGTCCTGTTGGACAGCTCTGCCTTAACTGAGTGAGAAACCACAGCTGCTCCATCCTAATTGGATTGACCTGCATAAATGAGACTATCATTTTTGTTCATACTTAACAAGTCTTAAAAACAAAAAAATTCCCATTGCTGCTGCTTCTGCTTGATGTGCACCATTCCTAACAATATTGGGATGCCTGAAAAAAAAAGCTTGTTTAGGTCTTGGCTTCTTTGCCAGCAGTTTACCAATCTTACCTGTACAAAACAAAATTAATAATTGGTTCTCCAGCATCACCACCACCACCAAATTTTACTGTAGCCCAAGAACAAAAAAGCATACACCCAGCCAAAGGACATGCCTAGATCCTTCTGCTTTGGGTCTACACTATGAGAATTCCAATAGACAATACCTTTCAGGAGTTCACAGTTGTACTTGCTGTAATTCCCCAAAGAGTCCAGACGCAGCCAGTTGCCTCTCTGAGTCCAGTTGAATTTCCTGACTCTGAATACTTCATAGGGGGGGATAAGGACCTCCCTCTCAGATGCGTAGTGGGAGAACTGCTGCACAGGTGCTCCCAGGCAAGTCTTTATGATGAACATTGTTTCGGTCCCAAATTTCTTGGCTTCCTTCCAAAGGAGAGAGGAGGAGGCAAAGCGGCCAAATCGCACTGTACTGCCCAGTTTAGCCTCAAAATGCAGCCCTTTTACCCCCCTGTATACTAGATAGCACTTTGTAGTTGTGCCACTTCCCCACCTCCTTATCAATTGAATTGCTGTAGTCAGGTAGAAGTGCAAATATTTGAAGGGGAAGTTGTGTCTGTAGTGCCCTGGAGATCTCCCAGCTCTGGATACAACCTGGTTCAAGTCAGAGTGTAGTGGAGAATTCATGGTATAAGCAATGAGGGCTATAGAGTGATTCTCCTGCATCTCTTTGAGCAAACTAGTTGACATCATTGCCCAAGCCTCTCGGGCTTTTTCCCAAATGTTTGAGTAGTTCTCATGAGCACCCAGTTCTTTTTGGAAATAGTTTCCTTGTTTCAGTTCTTCCACCACCTGGTTTCTGCATCCATCATATTGGTCATCAAAGGAATCTGGTGCCATATCCATGAAAATTTGGGGTACAGCCTACAACATATAAGTCATGCAAGTTTATTCTAAAAAATATGGCCCTGTCAGCTTGAGTATATCAATATGGAAATAAATCATAATTTGTTCCACTGTTTGTCCTACTACAGAGGGCCCAGAGTGCACAGCAAAACAGTAGATACTACAGCACAGTGTTAGCATCTCCACATGCCATTAGGGAGCAGCAATAAACTGCAGAGCTTATTGCTCCACCTTTTATTTCTCCTGGGAAGCTCCTGCGCATGTGTTTGCACATGCACCCAGACCTCAGCACATTGACCCAGGTCTCAGCAGCCCAGGGCTGCTCCAACTGGTGTCAATGTGCTGCAAAGGGTCTGGCCTGGGCCACAAGTGTGCTTCAGCATGGAGCTAGCCAGCTAGCAGGTCCAACACTGAAGCACCCTTGTGCACCAGCAAGGTGGTCAACATCTACACATGCATTGTTGCGCACAAAATAACTCTGCAACAGGCTAGGACTTGTATTTACAAGCCTTACCTTGCCTTACCTTTCATGTGTCCTAATAGGGGTGCAATGTGTAGACACTCAGACATTTACTACATGGTTAATTAGGTAACTGCACAATAAACATCTCACGTAAATGTGCCCAGTGAGTGGTAGACAAACCTGGCATTCATTTTGCTCTTGAGAGGAGCACCTATGTGACCTCAGGTGTTTACACAAGTTAAACTGAGAGACTGCGTCCCCATGAGAAATATGCTTTTTCCCAGAGACAAAGAGCAGTGGCACAATGTGCTGCTTGTCCCCGGGAAACTCCGATGCACATGTGCTCTGGCACACAGCATGTTACCCAAGGCAGGGTAGGAGAGGCTAGGGCCAGTACCTGCAGTATCATCAGCCTTATCTGGGGTCCTGAGGGCCTTCAAGGGCTGTAGCTGTGGCAATCCAGCAGCATGGAGCCTAGCCAGCAGCTGGAGCCTGCCAGGCTCTGGTTTCTAGTGGCACACACTGCCACCGCATGTGTTGCCCCACTTTTTTAAGGTGAGGGTTTTCTTGATTGTCAAATGGCAAGATTCCTGTTAATTAATTATATTAGTTATTTCTCCATTATCTTTACCTTTTTTGATGCAGAAATGTAAGTAGGTGGCTAGGGGTTAATAGGGTGGATCATTGATCCATCTGCTTTGGTATCCTGCCTCTGACTGCCCAGTGTTTCAGAAGAAATATGTAATCATCAGTAAGGATCTGTGTTTTCTGTTCCTCATGGGAAAACAGAGAAAAACATGGATTTTCTCCTTTTACTGAAGGAAAACATAGATTTCTCATTTTAACAGAGAAACCCATGGATTTTGCAGTTTTGGAAAGAGCTCTCTGAAAGCTGGCAGATTTCCAGCTTGCAAGGGGCTGAGAGGGAGCAGGAGGCGGGCAATCAGGCAGGGGGTGCCATGTGCATGTATATGCTCCTGTAGCTAACTGGGGGAGGGAGGGAGTTGAGCAAGGCTGGGGGTAGGGCTGGGACTGCTGCCCAGCCGGGTGGTGCATGGGGCCTGGAGCTGCAATATGTGGCTGCAGGGCCCCCGGCAAGGAGCAGGACAGGGCCATAAGTGGCTCATCTGGGGGCGCAAGGGGGGTGGAACCAGCTTCCCGCCACTGCACACACTCCTAGGGGCACAGGGGGGACCCATACCCCCCCCCAATCTGTGCATGGGGTGGAGGCAGGCACAGGCTGCCCACTGTGGGCTTGGGCTCCTGCCTTGCTGCCCTCCCCCAGGGCCTCCACAGCCTGGCATGTGTGACCTAGCACTGCAGGGTGCAGCAGGGCAGCATGGGAATCTCGTTGCCGCTGTGAGCTTTGCACTGCCCTGGTGACACATCCCCCAGCATGTACAGCTGCAGCAAGGAGCAGAATCCCACACCGCCACCCCTGCTGCTGCTGCTGCTGCTGTGCTGGGGATGCCTTGCCAGGGCAGCATAGAGCTTGCAGCAGCAAAGAGATCCCCACATGGCCCTGCTGTTTCCTGCTGCGCCAGGTCTCACCCACTGGGCTTCGGAGGACCTGGGGGAAGGGAGCAGGGTGGGAGCCCAAGCCCATAGTGGGCAGCCGGTGCCTGACCCCACCCCCGCCCCTGTCTCATGCACAGATCTGGGGGCACGAGTCCCCCCTGCCCTCCAGGAGTACACGCAGCAGCAAGGAGCCACCCCCTCCCCCCCTGAGCCCGCAGCTGGAAGGTAGCAGGCAGCAGGAAACAGGCAACAAGGTGGGGAGCCGGGCTTCACTCCACTGCAGCAGCCATCACCCCCTGCCAGGGCCAGGGGACTGTGGACCCAGGTCCCTGGCCCCATAGCCCTAACACCACCAGGAGGGCCAGGGGACTGTGGCAGGGAGTGAGGTTCATGAGCAGGACCAGGGGGCTGCAGGGGAGAAGTGAAGGGCCTTTCATTTTAATCGTGGATTGGGGGGGCCGGGGTTATTAGAGAATTTGTGATTTTTTATCAGAGAATTTGCATTTTTTTATCAGGGAAAACCAGGATCCCTAGTAATCAGTATGCCAGCTGGGAAAGGCCATAAGAGTGTATGTACTATAAAGATACATTTCCTGATGCCTTGTTTTGCCATCATAGATATTCTATCTGCAGAGCATGTTGTTCACAAAATAATGGTCTGTAGCCTGTAAATCGTAAATCACATGAATAATCTTTACTCATCTAATTCATCTACATAGAGCCAAAGGAACTAATTTTATAATTAACCACTATTCCAACGGGTAAGAAGTTGCAGAAGTAGGCACCACAACAGGAAAATAATACTTAATATACATTGTTATAAGGTTATATAGCAGATTACCTGCTGACATGGTTTTTCCTATGAAAAACCTGCTGTTATGAAACATTAAAATAATGCATGTGACAATATCATTGGGCTGTTCTTTTTGCTGCCTCATTTCGTATTGGACTTTGGCCAACTGCTATGTCCAATTAGTTGATATTTAGTTGAATACTGCAAATAGGTAATCAGTTTATTTCAAATCATCACTCTTCATGTGAAAGTGGGGTCACAAAGGAATATCTTACTTGGCTTTTAGAATTACTAGTATGAACCATATTGTTTTACTTGGGATACCGCTTCTCTGACCATGTCAAGCTAAGTCATTTGGAGGGTTGGGAATCCCTACTGCAGACATGGGGATATAAAACAGCAGATGAATACATCTCTGGACAGATTTTAAAGCAAAAGAACACTCTTCTGTGAACAACCCACAAATATTGGCTGGGGAAAAATCTGACTTGAAACTATCATTTCTAGCAGCGAAGTTAGAGGGATTAGAGTAGGTGAGAAATGGAGCAAAGCCAGTGAACGCAAATTAGTTTTCATGCTAGGACTGATCCAAAATTCACTGAAGATAATGTAAAGGTTCTGTTTGACTTCAGTGGGCTCTGAATCAGCCATTCTCTAAGAGATGACACAGTTTCAAATAAAGTACAACCTTTTCACCCCTCACCAGCCACTCCAGGGAGAAAATTAGCAGCAGGTTGGTCAGTAGATCTGTCATGATTCCAGAATCCAGAGTTCCACAATTCTTTGAGCATCAAGAGGGGTTTACTCAGTTTTCTAAAGCTGTCCTCCTCTTTTCTTTTCTAAAGTAATACACTGAATTTTTACAAATTTTGTAGTTCGGAATTTGCAGTTGGATTTAAGTCAAGATTCTTTCTTAGCTTATTCCAGAGGTAGGGATAATCACCAGACTCTTGCAGAATTGAAAGATAGTAGCTTTGAACCAAGGCAAAAAAATGCATTGGCAATAATAGCTCCAAATTAAAAATAATATAAACAAAAGCTACATACAAAAGGAAGTGTCTCTGAGTCCTTTAAAACCTGAGACAGTTTCTCTTCCACTCCTTTTATGGTTGTTATATTCACCAGGTCTGTATCAATTTGCTTCATTTCAAAATCACCTGCATTCTTTCTTTCTTCCTCCTTCTTTGTTCTCCTTACATCATACTCTGTCCAAATTTTGTTAATAGTCCAGAGAGAAAGGAGACCCTCTCTTTGAGATGTCAGAGGAATCTCTCTCCTGTGTGTTTACATAGCATGAAATGAAGAGGGAAGTCTCCAGTCCAGAGTTTAATGAGCAGCATTAAAAGGAGTGCATGGGCTCTGATAAAGGCAACAGAGACGTGGGTTTCTCATTCAGAACCCATCTGGGAGCACTGATAATACAGACGCCAATTCACTTCTGACCTCATCATCTTCTAGTTCTCCTGATAATACTGTTGGCAATCCCACTCTAATTTTAGTTGAACATTGTTTTTTAATTTCCACATTGCTTAGCGAAGGCACATAAATGGATAGTCACAAAACCAGGCTCCCACTTTCTAACGTACCTCACAGAATGAGATTACAGGGACACTCAGTCTCCGTGGTCTGATCACTTCTCATGCTCTCTGCTGAAATTGACAACAAGGAAGCAAACATTTGTCAAAACTGAAGGTGTTTTTGTGTAGTGTGGGCAAATGAATTAGGCTAAGAGCTACCAGCTCATTTCACAAAACTGCAGTCAGATGGCAGCAACTTTCAATCAGTGCTGATTTTGGTAGGAGTCAAACCAGTCCCTTTTTGTAAGCAGCTACATCAATGATTCTCAGCCAGGGTGACACAGCAACCTGGGGTTCCTCGAGAGCCTGTCCTTTCAAGGGTGCTACGGGGAGCCACACAATTAGCACTGGTAGGTGTGCATACACAATCACATGATCAACCAGAGATTTCATGTAGGATACCGTAGTGTCAAAAACACTCTGACCAGTTGTGGTCTTTCTGAAGAATTGCTCTGTTATTGTTTTGTAGTCAAAATGTAAGTGAAACAAAAAGCTGGCATTTTCTTGGGGGTGCTTTGAATCTATCAAGGGGTGCCGCAAATCCGAAAACATTAGGAACCAGTCAGCTACATGTTCTACTCCTACTTACAGTTTGCACATGATCTGATTCTGAGGGGAATTGTGTCCAGCTTGTGGGAGGCAGTTCACAAGACATTTAGACAAACCTGAACATGCTTGGGGCTAAGTTTTGTGAAGTCATAAACAGAACAGCACATTCTGGAGCCTTTTCGGCGCTCTCAGCACTGATAAGTTCTTCTTACGTATCTCTGTAAAACACACCAATACCCCTGCTTCCCACCTCCCACCCATGTAGCTTCTCTGGACTTCTTACCCACATATCATGCTCTGTGGCTTGTGGTGGTTACTCTGCATAGAAGAACTAACAAAGGGGGCCAAAGCATGGTTCTGTGCATATGGAATAATGAAATGCAATCTTTAGCTCAACTTGGTAGTACTTGAGGCAGAAAGGACTAGGGATGATAATCAAGGAAGGTGTGTTGGCTGGTAAATCAGGTACACGTGTTTATAGTTTGGTTCCTCATGAGACATATACAACTACAAAGATGATGTGAGCTTATGGCCACCATTGATGTCAAAATACAATTAGGCGCTAGTTCATAATACCATGATAGTCTGTAGCATGGGGCTTGGTGCTCCTGCTACTTTAAGGACTGCTGGTGGTGGGAGAAGCAGGCAGCAGGTGTAACCAGAGTCAATCAGGAGCCATAGGACTAGGGAGCGGTCCAGGCTAGACTGAATATAAGCCCAGGCCCTGAATGTAGCCAGCAGTAAGATTCTGGGGACTGCTGAAGAAACATCATCTCAGGAGGAGCGCTACAGCTCCAGAGTGCCAACATGGAGAATACAGCATGAAGCAGGCTGGCCCTACAGGCTGCAGGGGAAGGAGCTCCTGGCTAGGAGCCCTGCAAGGGAGAGTCTGATGGGCTGCTGAACTGCCTTGTGATTCACAGTGACACTGTGGGAGCTTCAGGGCTATAATTCAGAGCTGGGGATTATGCTGGTACCTAGTGAAGACTGCCCGGAAGTTTGTTTGCCTACCCTGAGGTGGGGCTGTGGGCTGTTTTCTTCTCTTGCTGGTGTTGGTGCGTGCAGAATGGAGAGTTTGTGTTCTAGCCAGGGGGCTTATCTTTTGGTTACAGTTCATACTGGTGGTTTGGGTTGGGAGTGTGAGGGGTAGTCTCTAGCAATCCCATTAGTGCCCTAGAGAAATGTAGTCATCTTGAACCCTGCTGGGGGCAGGCTCAAGGCAGAGCCAGCACAGAGCCCAAAGCAGGGCAGAGCATGGAGCCACAGAGCCCAGAGCAGGGCTGAGCCAGGGGCCCAATGCCTGAGAGGGGTGGAGATAAGGGCCAAGGGCCCGATGCCCAAGAGGGCCAGACTAGAGCTGCTCCAATACAATGGGCCTGGGCTAGAAGGCTCAGCTAGAGAAAAGGGGTGAGGGCTAAGAAGGCCGAAACTCCAGCAGGAGAGTGATGGTACAGCAACACCTGGGAGGCATGGGATACAGTGTAGGGGCAGACAGAGCCATATAATTAGCCCTGAAGGCTTATAGGTACCCTGAGGCACAGATGGACAGAGAGCACACAGGCAGCTCAAGAGCAGGGTCAAGGCCAGTGGTGTTCAGGAAGGACCTGCTGGCTAGTGGATAAAGTAAGTCTTACTCTAGGACTCCCAAGGCAGCCTCCCTTTTGATCCAATAATTACATCAAGGCATAGCGGGGGAGGATACCTTAGAGGCAGAGCAGGGCAAGTGTTATGGGGCCACCAGGGGGTGTCACAGCCACCCCTAGAGCTCAACTGTATTACACGCTCAAAATGTTAGTACACTGTGTTCCAAGATGTGCCTGATGTGATGACACTTTTCTCCTGATGATGTAACATTGTAAAGTAGAAGAAAAAGTAATGAAAAAAGCCAATCCACGTATAGTTCTCTGAATCATTCAACCACATCTGTCTCTGAATCTTAAGAGGTGAGCTTTTAAGCTGGGGGTAGCCGAGGGGATACCCTGACAATAAGACAAGGTAACCTCCACGTCTTGCATATTCCTAAACAACAGGACGTCATTCCTAGATACAAGCAAGAATGAAAGGGGCCCAGTATGAAAAAGACTGCACACCACTGAGTTAGGGCATAGGAAAAGTCAGGAGATATTGAATATTCGTGTTTAGTTCCAAATTTGAACTTCATAAAGTAGACTGGCTATATAATGCCTTCTGCCTTTACACTGGACCTTTAGGGCTCTTTGTAAATATTTCTGTATGAAATTAATGGAAAGTTAACCTGAACATGGCTTACAGGGTCCCAATGTTTATGCAGAGCTTTGAAAATGTCAAAGGCTGTCATGGTGCAACTGATTTCATCAAATGAAGTTAAATGAAATGGCCACAAGGCAGCAGCAGAGGATCTACAAGAATGAGCTCTGGAAAACTATATATAGCTAAAAATGGAAGTTACATCCCCCTGGCTAGGCCTTGGTCCCAGCGCTTATGATCAGATCCATCCCGGCACCCATACAGAGATCTACCAGCTTCAGAGAGCCCTGGATCTGCGCAACATTCAACTGGTCCAAATCAGACTGCAAAATTAAAACCTGACGACTTTTCCGCTAAAGCAATTAACTGAAAGGGAAAAACAGTAATAAAGGATTCAACAGGCAGTTTGCTTTTTTTTACTTTAAAAGAAGAGGAGGAGGAGGAAACTGTTGTAAATAAATCTATGTCCAAACAATAGAAGGAATTAATAGTATGGAATTCTGCTGTCCTTCTGTAAGCAAAAATTCCACTTGTTTTAATGAGTTTTGTTCAGGTCAAGCCCATGTGTTTGCGTAGTGTCCATTAGTATAGCTTCATTAGAATCAATGGAACTATGCTGATTTGCACCATCTGAGAATTTGGTCCCTGGACAATCCTGAGTGTAATATCCTGTTCTGTTTTTTCTCTAATAGCAGTATGTATGGTGAGTTTCAAATCTGCCATATTTGTGCATTCTTGTCTGTTCTAGAATAATGGACTCACTGCTATACCACTTACTGTGTTCAAATGGACATGGAGACTGCATTTTCCCTGAAGAACAGAGAAAAAAGATTTAATTCAGCTGACAACAATGTAGGATGTACCTGATCCTCCTCCCAAGTCACACCAACATACATAGTTACTCCAGATTTACATTTGGGTACATGAGAGGAGAATCAAGCCAGATATTGATGTTTCCTGCTCTTTAGTACCCAACTCCAAAAAAAGTACTTTATCTTCCAACCCACTCTTCCATTCCAGTCAAATGTCCCCAGTAGAAGCCAGAGAGATGAAGAGAAAGAGCAGAACATGAACCCACTTTACATAACCCACATTTATTACAGTCAGCAACTGGGGATGACTTCACCAGCCAACATGCAAATGAAAAGAAATCACTTGTTTCCAGTCTCTTGAAGCTTGCCTCTATGAAGATACTCATTTCTTCCTCACAGAATATGACATATGATGATATATGACGATACAAGAGAGGCTTCTGAAAGTTGATAATGCATAATACTCATAAAAGATATTTGAAGGAATTTGCATAGAAGAAAGAGGATATGTAAACCAAGCATTGACACAACTTCAACCCCACCTTAATTTGTTTTAGATTTTTAAAAGTTCTATTAATTTTTCGTTCCATTTTTGCCACTCTCTGCATTTTTTTCAGCCAGGACTAGAAACTTAAGTGTCAAATAAACTATGAAGAAAGGCTTTCCGTCTGGCTATTTTCAGACAGACCAAAAACAAGTTGTACCGTAAGAAACAGAAATTACCACGACCCCACCCCACTTCCTTTCAGATCCAAGAAATTCAGTGAAGCATATAAATGAAGGTGCTTATCTCAACAGAACTACCAATGCTGCTGGTGCTCATCTGTTTCCAAGTAATACATGCTCAGGATGAGCACCAAATCCTTCTTCAGAAGGATATCCTCTTCCTACACTTGCTCTGGAGCTTTGTTGGCAGGTAAATAAAACAGGCTATCACACTTCACTGAGGAAGTTTAAAATACCATGGAGACCACAGGAGGAAAATGTCCGTGGTGAAAGCTGCGCAGTTATTGCTGAAGAATCCATGACTAGAAAATTGAAAATCGGGATAAATATTGCCTTTGTGCTCTCATTGCTGATGCACACAATTGAGGTTGGCCCAGTCTACCTTTCCCTTTTCTTTCCTTCCCTCCCACAACCCACATCCTTATAGGAATTAAACTGGACCCTA